TGCATTCATCACCTCTAGAGGGTTATATCATTTCAATGTTATGCCCTTTGGACTGAAAAATGCTCCTGCTACCTTCCAACGTTTGATGGAAATCGTCCTGAGAGATTTACTTGGGAAAATTTGCTACGTCTATATTGACGACATTGTCATTTACTCACCCACCTTGACCCAACATCTTCACGACATCCAGACCATCTTGGAGAGACTGGAAAAAGCAGGTCTAACCCTAAACCTAAAAAAATGTTCCTTTTGCCTACCTGAAATTACCTTTCTAGGACACGTAGTGAGTCACCAAGGAGTTGCAGCTGACCCCAAGAAGGTAGAGGTCATTCACGCTTACCCAGTCCCACAAAACCTTAAGGATGTTCAGCGATTCTTAGGACTGGCAGGATGGTATCACCGTTTTGTACCAAATTTTTCACGCATTGCTGAACCACTGAATAATCTGAAAAAGAAAGGACGACAATTCAAGTGGGATTCACTATGCCAGCAAGCATTTGACAATCTAAAGTTCTGTCTTACCACACCTCCCATCCTGGGCCATCCAGATCTTAACATACCTTTTACTGTGTATACTGATGCCAGTGACTCAGGACTAGGGGCTGTTTTGACCCAGCGTAAAGAGCAGGGTGGCGAAGAAGTAATTGCTTATGCCAGTAGAACCTTGACTAAGGCAGAAGTGAATTACTCCACCACGGAGAAAGAGTGTCTGGCTGTGGTGTGGGCTTTAGACAAGTGGCAACACTACCTGGAACCTAGAATGTTTACAGTGGTTACAGACCATTCCGCTCTGCAATGGGTCATGAATTCCACCAAACCAGCCAGTCGACTCATGAGATGGGCCTTGCGCTTGCAACGCTATGATTTTGTGATCGAGTACAGAAAAGGACGGCTGAATGTTGCTCCTGATGCGTTGTCCCGTATGTATTCCATGCCAGGCTGTAACTTGTACACCACGCAAAAGGATCTGCCTGATTTCCCTGTCACCCCACAAACCATCTGGGAGGAACAACATCAAGACACAGACATTATGAAGATCTTTCAAGCTCTGGCCAAAAATGAGCAACAGGAACAAGCCCAGTACACTGTGTTGGAAGACAAGCTGTATCACATCACCCACCTAGCAGATGAAACTGTTCACTACAAAGTAGTCATTCCATCTACTCTTAGACCAACAGTACTAGAATGGTACCATGATACTCCCTTAAGCGGACACTTGGGAATTTACAAGACGTACAAGCGAATACAAGATGTTGCTTATTGGCCAGGAATGTGGACAGACATAAAAAAATATGTCAAAAATTGTGCCAAATGTCAAGTCACCAAATGGGACAACCGGAAACCTGCTGGCAAGTTACAACAAGTTACAACATCACGACCAAATGAGATGTGGGGAGTGGATATAATGGGTCCAATGCCGAAGTCTGGAAAACAAAATGAGTACTTACTCGTATTTGTCGACTATTTCTCCAAATGGGTTGAACTGTTTCCCATGCGGCATGCCACAGCACAGACCATTGCCACCATACTAAGACAAGAAATGTTGACTCGGTGGGGAGTCCCTGACTTCATATTGTCAGACAGAGGAGCGCAGTTTGTTTCTTCTTTATTCACAGAGCTGTGTGGAAAATGGAACATCACTCCAAAACTTACCACTGCTTATCACCCACAGACCAACATGACAGAAAGAGTGAATGACCAGGCGATCTCTCTAGTATTGTGTGCGGGGGGTCTGAAATTCTGATGGGAAAAGTGGACCTGTGCAGAACGGCTTCGGTGTCCCTGGGTCAGTAACTTTTGTCCATTTGCATCCATTCATACACCCACACATTCCACACACACATTACAACGTTATCACATAGGCTTTCTTTACATTTTTTCCCTCTCTTGTTTCCAGTCGATCAGCCACACATTATTATTGTTTGTTTGTTTGTTTGTTTTCTTTTGGGTTATCTAAACATTATTATTGAAGTGTTTGAATTGTTTGTTTGATGTTTCCTTTTGTTACCTAAGAAGTGCTAATTTTGACTATGATCTATGACTGAACAGTGATTAAAAGTATATATTTTGATTTAGAAAACCTTTTTGTTGTACTGCTTGTTAAAAATATACCAGTTAATTTAATTTAAAGTGTGTGTTGGGTTATCTTTATTTTCTTCTCTTTGTGTGTATGGTGGTTAAGTGTTTGCCGCGGCTATCCAGGGTTTTAATTTAATTTTTGGCAAGTTAATCTTGTCTGGCGCCCAAAGATTTATTAATTCTGGTAACTATTAATTTTTTTTTTTTTTGTTTGAGGTCCGCTGGCAGTGGGATTAAGGGACGTGTGAAAGCCAGCTAGTGCAGTACCCACGTGGACCAGCGGTTGAGCGTTCGGCTGCGGTGCAGGAGGTCCCGTGTTCGAATCCCGCAGAGTTCAGTTTTTGAGATTTGAATTATTTTTTTTTTTTCTTATTATAAACTGTATATAAGATTTATTTATTACAAACAACCACCGTCACATTATTTTTACCCCCCTATGAAGATAACAAATACCAACAACCCTGTTATGAGAGAATATATTATTTGTGCTCATATTAGTCTAACTCAGGCTAGAATGTATAAAAGATGGTTTATTTCTCCAGTCCAGCATGTATTGCTTTTATTAAAGTATAACAGCTTACATCACACAATTTTTAAACTGTATATTGTTCTGTGTTTTTAAACGTAAGTGTTTATATTTACATCAGCGAGCCTTTGTTATAGTGCAGATACCGGAGGTTAAGTGAGAAGTTCGGGGGGCATGGTTGATTTTACATCAAGCATTTGTTTGGCACTGACTCGGAAGCTCGATTTCGCGGCTCCTCCTCTGGTTACATCAGACAGTCCTTCTGCGCATGCCCAGGCTCCAATTTCAGCAGTCTTTTGCGACAGTTTGTGCCCGTCAAGCAGGGGTTTTGCCCTCAAAGTGTTTAATGGAAAACGAGGCGCCTCGTCCATATTTTTTACAGTCATTGGCTCAGTCTCATACAAAATCCCTGCTAATGTTTGAAACATGTCCAATATGCCTCTGTTCACGCGCCGTCCCCACAAATCCAGTTTGGCTTTAAATGCAGCTACTTTATCTTCCAAATTAAAGATAATTAATTCTTGTGTGGCCCGGTACTGATTGATCCATGGACCGGTACCAGTCCGCGGCCCGGGGGTTGGGGACCACTGCTCTATGACACTCAAATACCCTCTCAGCAAAGTCTAATGGTTGGGAATGACCTTTTTACAGTGTCTGGTATAATGTTAATGTTGTTTTCGTGTGATTTCATAGATGAATATTGCCACAGTAAAACACAGTGCAGTTACGATCTTATTGCCACATTATATCATCAAGATAACATGATATAGTTGCCTTCAGTGATCTCCTGAAAATAAATACCAAAAAATAACACAACTGAAATAACTACAGCAGTTGCTTTTGTCGATCTCATATGAAGCAAGAAATCGCAATGACAAATGATGATGTGTGCAGGTGTTGTAGTAGTGTCCAATTTCTTAAGGGTAAATTTTGAAGCCTTTTTGTAGGAGTACAAAAATAGAATTGGGATTGGGCCTCCATGATCGTTTAAGGCTGTATGGTGATTTCAGTCATCATACAGCTGATATCCTTCATTTTGTTATCAGTAACATGAAGTATATAAAAAGTCTCTGAGCCATTGCATGTAAAGATTTTGGACATCTTGGACATTTTTTAGGCTTCCCAAAGGTTTGCTGCATTTATAAAAAGCCCCATGTATTGAAGGGACAGGACTGATCACAAGACTGATTTTTGTACTTAGCCAATTAACATAGACACAAGAAAAAATTATGTAGTGACTGCAGATTGAAGAAAAATAGTGAAGCAAAAGTACCGATACAGCACTAAAAAAGTACTCAAGAGAAAGTAAAAGTACACATTTTTAAAACTACGAAGCAAATTAAAATTCCTGAGAAAAAATACTCAATTATAGTAGTTTGAGTATTTTTTAATTTGTTACTTAACACCACTGGTCGCTTCACAGCAAGAAGGTTGCTGGTTCGAGCCTCGGCTGTGACAGTTGCCATATTTGTGTGGAGTTGGCACATTCTCCCTGTGTTCATGTTGGTTTCCTCCGGGTGCTCCGGTATCCCCCCACAGTCCAAGGACATGCGCCAAAGGGTGAATTTGGGAAGCTAAAATTGTTTGTTGTGTATGTGTGTGAATAAGTGTTTATGGATGTTTCCCAGTGATGGGTTGCAGCTGGAAGGGCATCCGCTGTGTAAAACATATGCTGGCGGTGCAGGCAATGCAGCTGTGCATTTATACTTCTGCGTACTGTCTCTGTTGGTCTGCATTAAAACTTCCGAAACGCTAGCTGGTAGTGAGGTGTAAATGTTCCTCTGTGTTGAGTTTCTTCGCTTCTGTTTTGCTTTTCCTGAACACCTCCTGGTTGTACAAATGACTCATACTCGCTTATTTTGAGGCAGGAACCGGCAGACGTGCAACAACTTTAACTATGAGGTAAACACAAAACAAAACTTTCCATCTGGAGCTCCTTTACGGGACTCCACACTTGTAAACAATCGCTTGCGCCATTCACGCGGCTCTCAGTCCCGCCCAGACTCGACAGTGCTACCAAGCCGACCAATCACAGAGCTTGCGCTACTCGTTGTTCTGACGTGTAGTTACATTTTTTGAGAGGTGCACGTCAGTGACGCCGACGGCCACGGTGAAGGGCTATGCGTCAGCACGGTAGCATACGCTGGCGTTTGACGCAGAAGTATAAATCAGCCTTAAGCCGAAAAGAAAATGAATGAATGAATGAATGAATGAATGAATATATTTTAACTAGATGCTGCCATGTTAACTGAATGAATCTCCCATTGCCTGGGGGATGACAAATTATTCTATACACCTAATCCTATACACCTAAAAAAAATAGCTTCTTGTAATCCCAACAAAAATTCTTGTAACAAAAAAAACAAACAAAAAAAACAAACACACACAAAAGTACCTGTAGCACAAACTTCTGGTCAATATAACGTTTGGCAGTGCTTGGCTGGAAGTCTGGATTTTCAAGGAATCGAAGGAAAAACTCATACACCAACTGAAAAAAACACAAACAAAATACTATATTTAATGTTTTTTCTAATGCCTCCAACATTTAAAAACAGAATAGCCCACACACACAAATGCTATAGTATAGTATTTATAGTAAATACTACAGTGTTTTTGAAACTTTCACAATATGTAATATATATATATATATATATATATATATATATTCATATTTACAACACAATGCTAATGAATGTGACAGCATACTCTAATAACTATAGTAAAGTGATAAAATAAAATATATTTATAACTGTAAAATATATTGTAATACATTTAATTTTTACAACAGTGAACTGTGCTGTATTATGTAGTTAAAGAAAACTTACAGTATTGGGTAATTTTTATATTACTGTAAACATGTTCTCATAGCAACAATAGAATTACGACGATAGATTATTTCAAGTACTTTGGTATGGTTCAAAATCACTATAATATTTACTATAAGCTACTACAGTATTTTTGTCATGTGGAAGTTATAAATATTGACATTATATACATGTAAACAATGAGCCATCAGTCACTAACCTGCATGTGTGGCCAGGAGGCTTCAAGCGTGGGTTCATCTTCTTCTGGATCAAAGTCTGGGTTTTCACTGGGTGGAAGTGTTCTGAAAATGTTTGTGCTGACCTGTAAGAAAAAAACAACAGTGCCGAGTTTGCTTTGACCTGATTAAAATTGCTAGAACAAATAAATATAAAGGTTTAAATGATATCATGTAAAGGCTGACCATTGTGGTGATTTCGGGATAGACGGGCTCCACCAGAACGCCTCTGTTAGTGGACACATAATCCACGAGTTCGCTGAGAGTGGCCCGTTTGGTCTCTTTGCTCTTTAGGTCAGTCACTGTGTCGTAGAAGTCGAACAATTTGCAGCACTGCTGTAGCTTCTGCATGAACAGCTCATGCTGCTCTGTAGAAGATGCATCTGAAACAAAAAAGACATTTATTTGTTTCGACTAGAATAAAAGCAGTTTTTATTTCTTTAAAAACCATTTCAAGGTCAAAATTATTGTGACCTCTTGAATTTCATCTTAAATATTTTCGTTGTGTTCTGAAGATGAACAAAGATCTCAGGTATTAGAAACAAGTAATGTGAGTAATTAATAATACAATTTTCTTAAAATTTTTCTGGTGAACTAACCCTTTAAAAGAGTAATATTGTTGCTTTTAAATGTAGACAATATGTATATTTTTAAAAACATGGACAGTGTTGATCTAGAAAAAGGACAAGAATGTAAAATTGATAGTATCAGAACTTTAACGTCTGATTTCCTGTCCAATTATGTTTGAGTGTGTTTAGAACAGCTGAACGCTTGAATGGACAGGAATGTTGTAATCCAAACTTGGTAGTTTGTCCAACTCCAGTAATCAGGATGAACCCCTGGAGTAAGAGACGAGGCCATTCCACAGCTGCAGCACTTGCAAAGAAAACTCTTCCAACTGCACATGCTATTTGCTGTGTTTTTCTCTGTTTTCTATGCTTTCTATCCATCTTAAATTAACTGGAATACTTTATTGGGTAGCAAGAAACTGTTTGTTTTTTATTTACACCAACGTTTTGCCATCATTGCACACTTTTTTCCTACAATATCTAATATAATGTTTTTTTATTATTATTATTAGGTACACCTTACTAGTACTGGGTTGGACCCACTTTTGCATTTAGATCTGCCTTAATCCTTCATGGCATAGATTCATCAAGGTACTGGAAATATTCCTCAGAGATTTTGCTCCATATTGACATGATAGCATCAAGGAGTTTCTGCAGATTTGTCAGCTGCACATCCATGATGCGAATCTCCCTTTCTAACACATGCCAAATGTGCTCTATTGGATTGAGAACTGGTGACTTTGGAGGCCATTTGGACCCCAAATTCTGACCCTACCATCAGAATGTCGCAGCACAAACTAAGACTTATCAGACCAGGCAACGTTTTTCCAATCTTCAATTGTCCAATTTTGGTGTGTCTGTGCAAATTGTAGTGCCTACGAGAAGTCCCTAAGAGTACCTATTAAAGTGGCCTAATAAACTACTACCACCACAACACAACTGACACAACCTCTGTCATCTAAATGCACTCTGCCTCAAGAAAAATGTATAAAAAAAAAAAGTAAGGTGCTACCAAGTCTACCACTGTTACCCATGGAATTCAGTGGCATATTCAGTCTTTTGTATATATAAAGGATGTTCCGACGAGCAAACACATAAACTTTTGACCTCTGGCACTTCATGCACCACTGAGCCTTATTAGCTCATGTTTTGAGACCAGCTAAACCCTTTTAAGACTTCAATCCCACAGTCAGCCAATGCAGTAATTCCCATTACCAAACAGCTTGACACGACTATTTTCACCTTCATATCTGAAGCCTTTTTCCAACCTTCATAACAGAAGTATATACTGAAAAGAGGAAGGGACTAAACATTGACCCTATGTACACAACATCTTTTATCAACTGAGAAATCTAAATTCCCTTGTCTTTGTGACTTAAAAGTAGGCCCACACAAAATTTGCGCATGCAGAAATTTTCTTGTTTAAATGTTTGTAAATATATATTTCCATTTTTTAAATAATTTCAATAATATTATTGACAACTACAAAAATGTTCAATTTATTTTGTTTACAATACAGTTTTTAAAATCATATTTTCTTTTTTATCTATATATTATACAAAATACTTGCTCAATTAAGTGAATCTAATTGAATTTGCATTGTAAACATTAAATAAAAGCTAAAAATTTATTATTTTGTTTGTTTCATATATTAAGTTTTCAGTTCTGATACTCCAAAAATCATTCCGCATAAATCCACAGATTTTCTTTTACAATATTCTGTGCAGAAATAGCAAAAAAAACGTCTGCAGATTCTGTACAAAACAACTTGTAAGTTTTATAACTCAAATCTTGTTAGACTAAACAAAGCTTATATTAAACCCCAAAACACTTCATAATGTAACACTAGTCATGAGAAGCTAACCTTTTCAAAGTTTACGAAAATATAAAAACAAAAACTAATGCAAATAAATTTTTATCAAGTTGTTAGAGCAGCTGACCATCAGTGGCAAAAAGCTGACTAGTCATGTGGGTGTAATGTTCAATATGTCTATACGCTAAATCAATTGTCAATTTTGTATACCAATTTCATATGAATTCCCATTTATTTCCAAGTCCAAAAATACAAGTAAGCTTAAACTTTTTTTTTTTTGCAAATTAAAGAAATTTTTATTCACAATTTGGCATTTTCATCACTTGTGATACTCCAATGTGCATTCTTATCAGGTAATACAGATGATATGACAAAAAAAAAATAAAATACTTCAATTCATTAAACGATTTACATCGATTTTAATTATTTCAATCATTTTTTGACTTCTATTTTCCCCCTCTTTTTCTAAAATTTTTACTATAAAAAAAAAAAAAAGAATGGAAAACTTATTAAGTAGGTTGAACACCAAATGCGCTGCTCAGCGCAGCAACATGACATGTCGGAAGTATCACACACCAAACGTGCACATTCGCATGCTATTTAAAACAAAACAATTCAGATGGCACTTTGTGGTGCGGCAGAAATATAAACAGTGTGGTAGCTGAGCCCTCTATTAGAGTACTCTAATAGAAATCTTTGTTTACAATTCTACAATGAATGGCACTGTGGCAAGGCCAAGCGGCGCATCAGGTGTGCAACGCCCTTTAGTCTACTTTACTTGTTAAAAAAATTATAAAAAATTAACAAAAAAATCAACTGTGAACTTAAAAACAAAAGTAGGCATGGGACGATAACCGTTTTCAAGGTATACTTGCGTTTGGAAAAGTCAAGGTTTTAAAACTGCCAAAATTTTCTGCTATACAGTGCCTATACTGTTTTTAGAACAACAGTATCTCCAGCAGAAAAGTTATCAAAAGATATCATTTTAATTTGTAAAGCAATCTGTTTTTGAAACTAATAAAGACAGCAGAAGTCAATGATTTTATTTGAATTATTTTACCTGACATGTTTACTGCTCCAAAATATTATACATTTTCTTCTCAAAATAAAATATATTGTGTTCAAAGAGAAGAAAAAGATTTAGTTTTTTATCCAGACATTTAAAAATAGTTTTATTTAGAACAGTAATCTGTAATGACGACTCTGAGAAATGTGGATCCATTTGCAAGCTTTTATTTAAACACAGCAAGGCAACACAGTGAATCAGACAGCCAAGGACAAACAGCATATACTCAGGAACAGTAATACGGGCTATGGTCAAGGCTGGCAGCATACAGTCAGGAACGATGATACAGGCATTGATCAGGGCAGGCAGCAAGTGATCAGTAAACAGGGAATAAGGCAGTCGGTAAAAGAGAGGCAATCAGAAGGTATAGGAAACACAAATGTTTGATAGCAAAACAAGAATTTGCACTGAGTTTTCTTCTTCTTCTTTGATGTTTAACAGCATCCAACTTTAATGGTGCATTGCCGCCCCCTTCTGTACTGGAGTATGGACTGGATTTGGACAGAGATAATTTGTCAGGGTTCTGCCACTCCGGTCTTGTAAATTCTTGTTTTGGTGGCAGATCTCGGACACTACCCGTGTCTGGTCCTGTTTCTGTCTCTGTGTGCGCGCGCACCGTCGTGGGTGTACGCAGAGTGTGCGCACTCCTGCTTGACGCGGCCGCGCACGCGCTCTGCGTCCCTCAGACGCGTGCGCTCTTGTATTCGTGTTTGTGTTTTCGTCTGTCAGCAGCGTGGTGTTTCATTCCCAGCGTCTCAGTCTTGTTGGTTTCGGTTTTGGTCGGCGCTGGGATGAAGCATGCATGCTGCATGTGTGAGCGCACGGTGAGTGTTTTCATTCATCGTGTGCTTGTGTCTTGCGTCTTTTGTCAAAGCACGTGGCTCGGTGTTTACATTGTGGTCACATGCTCTTGTCGTGTGCTTCAGTGTTGTGTTATGTGAGCGCATGGCTTGTATTGTCTCTCTGTGTCATGCGCTCTCCCGTCTATTGTCTTGTCCCACCCACCTTGTTATCTTGTTTGTAATTATTATTTTCACCTGTCCGCCTGTTTGTTTATTGGTTTGTCTTTCCTATTTATTCTCCTAGTGTGCTCTGTTCTGTGCTGGTCCGTTGTTGATTGTTTCCTTCCCTGTTGTACGTGATTTGCTGTTTCTGTTCTACAACAGTGGTTAAGTTGTGTGTCTGCCAAGTTCCAGATTCTTGAAGTGTAGTTGAGTGTATAACCATGTCATGTTTTTCCCCACATTGGGAGATTTGAGTTTTGTTTTTGTTTTATTTTTTCAATAAATTCTTCATTCCCCGCATTTGGGTCCTCGCCTCCTCTTCATCACCCCCATTCCCTGACATAATTACTGTACCCTCTTATTTGTATTCACCTCTACACACTTTTCTTATTTTTACTCTTTTCACACCTTAACTATACATATTACACTCTATATCCTATTTGCTAAACCAGTGACCTTTAAGAAATATAATAACTGTGACTTAATGTCTCTTGATGTTTTTCCTAATATATCCTTGAAGGGTCACGAAACATCAAAACACATTTTTTGAGCTGTTGACAGTCGTATATGTGTCCCACACTGCTAAAAACACTATTAAGACACCTATATTTCACTAAAAAGTGTAAATTGGTTGTTTTTGTGTTATTTCAAGCAAATTCGTACTTCCGGTTTGAAACGAATTTTTGAAGCTGCGTCACGACCATGACATAATAGCGTTGTATTCCAGCGTGCAGACTGGGTGTCTGTGCCAGAGTGTGTCTTATTACGTCTTACAGTGTGATGCATTAATGCATGAGTAAGGCTTGGTTCAAACCAATCAGCGCGCTCTATTGTGCAACTTCATTAATATTCATTACTATTACCGTGTTTACAGGACAGAGACGCCACGTTGTGTTGGCAAAACAAGCGTGAAGTGTTGCTTTTATAGTTT